TAAAATTTTCGGGAGATCTTAGTTACAGGGGAGGTTCTGTCGAAATTTCTACAAAAACATTAACACTTTCTTATGATAATGAATTTAAACAAGTTATTTTAATTCTCATATGATTTGATTGAATTTTGTTCTTTTCTTTGAAAATGGAATAAATATGCACTTAGAAGCTTACGGGAATGTGAGAGCGGTTCACACCCGTGCCGGTCACCCTCTATTTTTGGGGCGTGACATTTTTAGCCTTTTCTTTTTTTTTGCACGTCTAGCCTGCTATAATTTGTTTAAGCTTCTATAAATTTTTGAAGCTTATGTGGATTAGACATTAGGATATTATCAATATGCAACATAGTTTTCTTAATTTATTTTATACAAATTATGGAGAAATTTTTTGTTTGATATTTTAATTGTCAAATAATTACCTAAAAATTAAACCTTGAATTAACTATTCATTCTTTGAGATTTGCATATTTTAATTAGGTAACTATTTTTACCTTGAATGGGTGAAAAACCTTGAATTGGTTGTTAATTAGAATTTATAATTGGTTATTATCTATTCACATTTGTTGAAATTGGTCAAATAGGTAATTGTCAAATAATTACCTAAAAATTAAACCTTGAATTAACTATTTCATTCTTTAACATTTACATATTTTAATTAGGTAATTATTTTTAGCTTGAATGGGTGAAAAAGCTTGAATTGGTTGTTCATTAGACTTTATAATTGTTGATTATCTATTCACTTTTGTTGATATTGATCAAATAGGAGTTTAGTGCCTGAGAAATGTCAATTTATAAGTTGTTATGCTGTGAATTTTTTTTTAAATTTCAAAAAGTAAACTAGTTGTTTATATTTTAATTAGGTGATTATAAATCATAGTTGGATAGATATTTTGTGGATAAGTAACAAATAGGAAAGGGGGATAGACCAATTTTTGGAATTTGCAAAGAACAATGTTCCTAATTGTGAACATTATATTTTGTCTGGGTATTTTTAAAATAATCATAAAATCAACAAAAAAAGAACTTTTAATAACAAAAAAAAATTAACTAATAGGGTTTAATTTTATTTTAACCTAGATAATCTTTTGTTTGTGAGTATTTTATTTCTTTTAGTTCATTAAAAAAACTAAAAAAATATAAAAATACAAAAAATAAAATTTAATCCTTTGTAGGAGTATATTTTAAAAAAATAATAATCTAACAAATTTTTTTAAAAAAAACTTGTTTAAATGTTTAAAAAAAAATCTCTCCCAAATTATCCCAAGCATTAAAAGATATTGGAAATCAACTTTTTGAGAATCATCTATTTTTAAAATTTTTCTCTTAAACTTTGTTATTTTTCATTTAAAATATTATTGCATAGTTCAAGATCAAATTTTTTTCATCTCTTAATCTTATTTTCAAAATTTTAAGAATACATAACCCCCCCCCCCAACACCCACACCCACAGAGAGCATTAAAAAACATATAATAATATGGCATAGCCCTAAACTGCTCCAGCCGAAAACGCAAAAGAGGAAGGTCTTCTCACAGCACACATACTAACGAACACAGCGAGAGAGCAGACTCAGTCACAGGACGCAAAGAAGAACTAGATGCAGAGAGAGAAGCAGAGAGCAAGCAACATAGCCACATGAGCAGACAGCATACATGAAAACGCAGAGCAAAAGCCAGAGAGAACAGATGCACGAACAGAGCAGCCTTAAACTTCTTTAGCGCAGAAGAGAAAAGAAGAACCAGAGAGCGCATGCCAGTCGAAAACACACAAAAAACACAAAAGCAAAAGCGGAGAGTGACGGATAAAAAGCAGAAGGAGAAACACAGAGAGACCAGACACGCACCCATTCGGCCAGAAAGCAAAGACAAAGGAGAGTAGCTGAAAATGCAAAAGAAAAGTAGAGCTAAAACTCCTTCAGCCACACATGCAAAAGGTAGAGAGACCAGACGCACAGTAGAGCAAGAAGAGGGAAGCATGCAAGCATCTCTCACATGCAAGCTTCATCTGCTTTAAAGAGAGGACCGAGAGTCTAAGAAAAGAGATTTCAAAAACAGAGGAAGAGAGGGAAGTCAGGCGAACAACAGCTGAGTTTTAATAAAAGGAAATCTCGAGTTTTTGGAGAGAGCTAGAGTAAAGCGATCGAACACTCTGATGTGAAGATGTTCAGATATGTAAGCATTAAAAAAAAAAACATAGGAAGAGGATGAAGGGATTAATGAAACATTTATACCAAAGAAGAAAATGCAGAAATAGTAGCATGCATGTGCACGTGGGTTTTTAGACTGAACGAGATCATCATCTTCTTCTTCCCTCAGTCGCACGGGTTCAGGTAGAGAATTTACCACAGCCACCTGAGTTCGTTTGCATCATTTCCTCTTAGCCCGAGTTAGTTCATTGTCACACAAAAACTCTCGTCTCTCTCGGTCACAATCGGACTATGATAGACGAGAGAAGAGGAGTTGAGCACTTTAAGGGAGGAACGAACGAGAGGAGAGAAACAGGGGACTAAATTTTTGCTTCGAGAAGGAGAACCACCATGAACGCTCCCTTCTATCTGTGGCCTAAGAAAGGTATAGGAATGAAAGGGAGATGAAAATGGAGAAAGCTCTGACAAAAGTCAGTAGCTTGAAGGCCTCCAAAAAATCTGAAGAAATACACAGCTTGGATACCCGTTACCAGACCCACCGAAGAGTATTTTTCATGAAGTAGATGACGAGCTCTTGAAGAATCTAATTGAGGCACAAAAGTGTACATCAATCAGTTTTTGAGATATCTACATGTTGAGTACAAGAAGAGTGGGATTGATGTGCACGGTTAGGTATTATTTTATTTCATTTTTTATGGTCATCTTTTACATACACAACTTGGTTATGACTTTGATTTGGCTCTTTCTTGTTTAAAATTTTATACTTCTTTCAAAAATTTCATAGGCTTGCTTCATTCCTTCAAATGATCATATTATTTTGGAAAAATTAAGAGTGTGTGTATGTCTAATATGGTGATGATGGTGATGATGATATGTGAATCTTAATTATTTTAATTGTCGGACGCTATAACCATGACTCTCATTATTTCCTTTCGAAAGCCATATCTGAGCATTAAGCCAATTTGAAAAATCTTGAAAAATACATCCTCAAGTCAAAATAGGGAGTTTAGTGTCAAAATGGTTTCTTTTTCTGTTGCTTCAAATGCTAAATTCATATTACGCACTGATTGCAAATGCAAATATCTTGATTATTTATTTGTTGTGTGAGATTTTAAGAATCTCCACAAGCATTTAGAATGATCTCATATCGCGTAAATCAATGAGCTTTTGCAGATATGAGAATAAAAAATTATATATTAATATACATTCCAAAGGCCTATCATTAAAATTAATTCTCTTTTTATAATTTAAATTAATAAAATATTTAAGTCTCATATGAGATTTCAAGAATATTCGTAGAGAATTAAATTAAGTGCATTATCATGTGGGATAATAAATCCTCACAGATATCATAATTCTCAATTTATATGGTTAATACATAAATAAATTTTGTAAATAAAATAATGAATATTTTTTAAAATAAATTAATGTATTTAAATAATAACCATTAAATCTTTGGTCATGTGAAATTTTTGAATCTTTATAGATTTCTAGGATAATCGCATTATCGTATGAGTCAATAAGACTCTACAAGTATAACAATTAGTTTTTACAAATTATTTACATACACAATAAGAAATAAATTACAATACATTTAAAATATATAATATTTAATCCTTTATTGTGTGAGAATTTTGAATTTTTGTAAATATTCAGGATAATCGTATTGCTGTATAAGTTAATAAGGTTTTGTAGGTACAGTGATTAAGAGTCTTTAAAAAAATGTAAATATGTATATACACACTTAAAATATATCATTAGTACTTAAAAATTTAAGTAAAATAAATTAAGTTGTTAAAATCTTTTATTGTGTGAGATTTTAGAATCTCCATAAATATTTAGAATAATCATATTACCATATAAGTCAATAAGGCTTTGCAGGTGTGCAATTAAAATTCTTTAAAAACATATATATACATGCTTAAATAAATTATTACTAACACTAAAAAGTATAAATAAATTGAGTTGTTAAACTCTTTTATCATGTGAAATTTTAGAATTTTTGCTGATATTTAGAACAATTACATTATCGTATGAGCCAATAAGGCTCTACAGATATAGTAGTTAAATTTTCAATAATAAAATAAAAAATAATAATTTAAACTCTTTACCTTTTTCCTATTTCAAAATTTTAAAAATTTCAAAAATAATTAAAATTAAATTACTTTTTGTAATTTAAAACATACATATCAAAATTTCAAAAATTATTTTATTTGCAAAATAGCGAATTTTATCTAATTAATTTCTCTTAAAAAATATTTTCACCAACAAGTTATAATCCTGAACTATGTGGACTTTGATTCTTATCGTAGGGTACGTAGGCCTCAAAGCTTGATTCTGAGTCAAGTCCTCTCTTATAAATAAATAAATAATCCTCATTTTATTAGTATCATTTTTAAACACGTGAATAAGAAAGGGATAATTAAAATAATTTTAAAATCATATTAATTTAGCACAACAAACTTCAGGTAACCGCTCTAATAAACGGGTGTTGTGGGGTGCCTAACACCTTCCTTATACTAAATCAACTCTCGAACTTATTTTTTGATTTCGAAAGACTATCATTATTTTCCTTTAAACGGTTTCCCAAGATTTACTTCAAAATTTTAGTGGCGAGTCCCATTCAATTGGTTTCCACCCTGAAGGTTGAAACCTCCACCCTCTCACACAATCCACATCACATTTTTTGGTGTGACACTAATAATAAAGGATTATTCTATTGTCCATGTATTAAGTGCTTGAATGGGTTGCGACTTTTGTCGCAATTTGTTTTGGTTTCTACTAAGCGTATACACAATGGGTATTACATGGAGAATTTAAAAAACAAAGTGTGTGCCACAAGATGAGAATGGTGATGATATGGATTTGTTTGATCGAGTAGAGGATATGCTAAGTGATATTGGTGTTAAAGGTGTTGAGAAAGTACATAAATATGATAGCTTGTGCAATAATTTGAAAAAGCCTTTGTATCCAGGGTGCACAGAGTATACATGATTAACAGCTATGCTGAAATTATTCAACTTGAAAGCAAAATATGGGTGGAGCAGTAAGAGTTTCACAAAGTTACTTAAACTATTGAAAGAGATGCTTCCAAAGGGTAATGAACTTCCAAGTAGTTATTATGAGGCCAAAAAAATATTGTGTCCAATAGGTTTGGGGTATCAAAAGATACATGCTTGCCCTAATGACTATATATTATATAGAAATGATTTTGAAGGGTTGGATGTGTGTCTAGTCTGCAGGGCATCACGCTACAAAGTAAAAGAGATGAATGGCGGTGATGATTTAATTACTAAAAGGCCTCCAGCAATGGTGTTGTGGTATTTTCCAATAATACCGAGATTTAAATGGTTATTTTTCAATGAATTCGAGGAAAAGAACTTGAGATGGCATGCTAATGAGAGGAAAATTGATGGCATGCTTTAGCATTCGGTAGATTCTCTACAATGTAAAGAAATTGATTGATTATTCCTTGAATTTGGTAATGAGCTTAGAAATCTTAGGCTTGGACTTTTGTATAGACAAGATGAATTGTTATGGCAATCTTACAATTTAATATAGCTCATGGCCTATTCTACTAGTGATTTATAATTTCCCTCCTTAGTTGTACATGAAATGCAAATATATCATGCAGTCATTGATGATTTCAGGCCCGAAATAACCAAGAAATGGCATAGTTGTTTATTTAGCTCTATTGATTAAAGATTTGAAGATGATGTCAAAGGTAGGTGTAGATGTGTTAGATGTAACCTCCACATATATTCACTCAATATAGGAGAAGATTAGCAGAATCACTACTTGAACACACCCATTCAAAAATCATAGAATTTATTTGAAAAGCTTTAGCCAAAGACTTATTTCACAAAATCATCAAAAACCATAATACATTTGAGTAACATATAGCGAAAGCAATTTATACACATTCATGTCACCTAATGCATGCATTTGAAATCACAATATCAAGTTAGAAAAAAAGCCATGCGTCACAACAAGCAATACGTATGCCACAGCATATGGCACAAAGTCACATATCCAACTTTCTATGCTATGCTTCGCAACATGTGACACCATGCACTGCGGCACGCCTGTCTAAATTTCTACTGTCATTTTGATAGCAAAATTATGAACTTCCGACGTGCATCGTTTTCACATATGACATCTAATTAAAGTAATTTAAGCGCCCACATGAAGCTAGCTTATAAGCTAGCTAATGAGACAGGTTCAAACATGATCTAATAGTTCAATCAAATTTTGGACACCCAAGTGCAAAAAGTCACTTTTTAAAAAAAGTTTGCGCACCTAAGCGCTTAAATCGATCCCTTTCTCTTATCAAACCATACAAGGCCTTAAATCAAGTCCAAAAGGACCTAATACACCTGATTGACCATGTTATATCATAATTTTACACATACATTAAAATTTGACCCCTCAACAGTCAATTTCCATATTTCATAAACTTTCACAAATTGCCTTCACTTGATATAACTTGATCTATCTGGTCTTTTCCTCAACACTAATATATACATTCACATTCATATCCTATGTATTACTCAATCTTAGCCCTAAATTACTCATTTCTTTATAATTTCTCAAATAGGCTTAAGATTAACCAATATCAACAACAATTCCAACACAAACATACCCAAATTATATCCCTTGATTCATTTCATCACATATACGTGCAATTGGGCATGCATGTAACCCTATGGCAACCCATTTACACATATATACACAAGTTTCTTAGTTCATTACACAAACTCTGAGTATACACGGCTTCAACAACTCAAGCCAGTCTAAACTCTCTTTACTTACCCTAATCACTACCTTGCCTTGTAAACATGTAACCACGGGGGTGAGATAAAAATCTTGGTAACAAAATAACTCACTTCTAGTGACTATCACATGTAACAATATGAAAGTAAAGCATATTATATCATTTAGTATAATATATCACATATCCGATTCTCAATTTACAACCACATGTATCCATACATCACTTTTTATCACTTTCTCACATATAGTAACATATTACATTACATAGTATTTCATAGCATGATCACCATTGACCAATCCTCCAAATCACCCTGGCATGAAACTATATGCTTGCCTTAGACCAGTGTACACTCTTATTGGCTCTAAGCTTACTTTTAGTGGTAGAATCACTCGATCAAAAGTGTTCTATCTCACTTCTGGATTATGGTTTCCCCTAATACACATAATAAGTTGTTGTTGACTCTAACATCATATCATACAGACACTAAGGAGTCTTAAATTTCTAACATTGCAGCTCAATAGGCACTAAGAAGATCTTCTCTAATATCACACCTTAAAAAGGCACTGAGGAGGTATTTCTCCAACACCACACCCTATCGGGCACTAAGGAGAATATGCTATATTGTCTTATTACTGCCTCTCTACTTGGGTGAACTCCCACCCCTATGATTATGCTTTATAAACCATTTAAGGTTTCTCATTACCACTTTACATGTTTTCTCATACATAATATATATAGATATATATTATCATACCATTTGAAATCACCCATTTCAATGCTTTTATTCTATCAAAAGCTATTTCATGCAATATTCACACAATGCTATAAAAACATGTTTAGCTCAAAACACTTTTAGGCACTACATAGCATACTGATATATATTTACAATAAACAGTCAAACAAAAAAGTTATTGAGTTACCTCAACCCTTCTGTTACTAAAAAGGTTACCTTTGAATTTCAACCACCACTATAACTTATCTCAAGCTTCCATTCTCTACTCACACGTCTAGACATTTAGCACATTTTAGTCATTTGATCTATTTTGACCAAGAACACATATTTACTACTTAGGACTATATTCATCCATAAACTCTTTTCCATTTATCCATTTTCAGTTTATTACTACTTGATTACTACTTTATATCACTTCAACTAGTCTTATCTCACTCAAATTAAATTTTTGCCCTAAAATCTATCTCGTCAAAGGCCAAATTGAGCCTACGGGTTTAAAGCTCTACTATTCAGCTTTCAACCAGTTGTAATACTCTAATTTAACTTTCAAAAACCTTTTTATTACTATTGGAAAAGAATCAAACTACTCAAAATTCACCGATTCAATTTTTCTATATGTGTGGGAAGCCAAATTAATTGATCAGTTTGCTGCTTTTCTTTTCTGGTTGTCATGTCAATTTTTTAAATCACTTGGTTAAACATATCTCAAGTTTTATATATTTTTAATCTACTTTTTAATTACCAGATGTGTTACTTTTTTTTTTTTGTAATATAAACCATTTTCAATTATAAATGAAATATGTATTCTTTTATGTGTAGCTGCTTTGAAGGAGATAGTATTCAAGAAAGAAGAGTTGATGTTCGTCACAGATGAAAATGGAAACACACCTCTTCATTATGCAGCATTCACTGGTTATGCGGAAGGTGCTCATGAACTTCTGAAAAAATCCACCCTCGTCGCCTTTCAACGAAACTCAAAAGGTAATCTTCCGATTCACGTTGCTTGCGGTAAGGGCCATGTTCAGGTGGTTGAAGAATCGCTACGTGTACAAGGGCCTTGTACAAGTTTTTGGCTCAATAATGAAGGTCGAAACATTCTTCACATTGCATCTATGAGAGGACAAAACAAGATGGTAAAATACCTACTGAAGCACCCGAAGATCAATTCCAAAACTGTGAATGAGAAAGACCTGCTAAATGGAGACACCCCACTGCATCTGGCTTCAAAAAACTTGAATCTTTGGACTTTAGACCATCTATCACGGGACAAAAGAATAAATGTGAACCTTGTAAATGACCAAGATTTAACAGCTAGTGATATTATCCAAAGGCAAAGTAAATTTCCAAGGACTCTTACAGAGGTATTTTGAAGTATCTATATATCCAATTATTTTGTCAATTGTCTCTTCCTTTTTCGAGCACGTTTTGATTTTAGACAAAATGCAGTTTTATAAAAGATTATAGCATGTAAGCATCTACTTGTTTGGTTTGATCGCCTTGCAGTTTGGAGCATATATGATTCTAAGATTTGCTAGTGCCTCGCTCAAACATAATAATAAGCTGAGACCAGAACCAAAACTTGCACAGAATAAAGAATGGAATGTGAATGATGGGGCCAACACGCTCATAATTGTGGCCGTACTGGTATCTACAGTGACATTTGCTGCCGGTTTCACAGTACCAGGTGGGCTATACAATTCGGATGACCCAGTCCCTAAAGAAAGAGGGATGGCAGTGTTGACCGATCAAACCCTATTCAAAATATTTATGACTTTCAACACGATTTCTATGTATTGCTCTACTTTCGGTACTATTCTTCTTCTTTGGAGGCATTTGAATGATCGTCGTGCTTCAATACGAGCACATGATATCTCTAAAATTTTTGTCCAATTGGCTCTTGGAACCATGCCAGTGGCATTTATGGCTGCCATACTTCTGGTTGTCAGCAATGACAGCTTTCTTCAACATCTTACAGGTGTCATTGCATTTATCTTCATTTTCCTTATACTACTTCTTGGCCTTTTAGGATATTTTCCACTGGGAATTCACCTTCCGGTTTTCCGTCAAGTTGGACAACTTAATCTTTGGATTCTTATTATGTTATTTTATGGAACTACGTATGGTAGAGTTTATGATGTTGGTGAAATCCAACAAGACGATGAAGTTGGTATGGCCAACCCAGTCAACACCACGCAAGAGAAGAACCGAGTCACCTAGTGTTCCTTGTGCCGACGATCACCCTGGTAATTAAAGTTTTGTTCAAGCCTTCATTTTATTTTATTTTGGATACATATTCCTCAATATAAAAAGGCACTGCAAATAAAAAATGTTATTCTTAGTTCAGAACATCAGCAAGTGTGAAGAGAGAGTTGAGCTCACAATCAAATATCTAGTCCAATTATTGTGAATGACGTAATCTTTTTTTAACAGCAGTTGAAGTTAATAATTGTTTGATGTATATTTATTATTATTTGAGTTATGTAATAGATAGAATACTACTTACTCTCTCCATTTAAAAATAAAAGACATTTTTAATTTAATCTTACCCCATAATAAAATAGTTACCTACTTTTAAGTTAACCTTATCTTTTTATATTTACCCCTATTAAACACCCTAAAATAAATATAAGTCATTCATCAATAAGGGTACTTTTAAAAAAAAGGCAATGATTACATTTCGAAAGACTAAAAATACCTTACATTTTTTAACATCTAATTCTTCAAAAAGTGCCTTGCATTTTTTAATTGAGGGAGTATTTTATTATTGTATATTGCAGAAGATTTTTCAGTGTTGTTGAGATGCATGTAAACATATCTTTGTTTGATTGATTATCATGCAGCTTCTCGCAGTGCTACTTATTTTAGTATTTGTTGGTGTCCCCCGCAGTAATAAGTTGTTAAAATTACGTTCGATAGAAAATAAAGAATTGAACATCAAGGATGCAGCCAACACACTCATAGTTGTGGCCATAGCGATAGCCACAGTGACATTTGCAGCTGGTTTCACCGTACCAGGTGGGTTTTGCTCTTCTGTTTACAAAGTCCCTAGAGAAAGAGGCATGGCATTGTTGGCTGATCGAAAGCTCTTCAAAATATTCATAGTTTTCAATGCCATCTCCAAGTATTGCTCCACTTTTAGTACTATTATTCTTCTGTGGATGCATCTGGGCGATCGTCTTGTATCACGAGCATATTTTTTTGCAGACCTTTTTGTTAAATTGGCTCTCATAACCATGCCTGTGGCGTTTATTGCTGCCACACGTTTAGTGGTGAGCAATAACGCTTTGCTAGCAAGTTTAATAAGTGTTATTGAATCATTGAATGGATATTCACTTTGTTCATCTTGTTTCTTTTATGTTGTTATGCTCTTTGCCGTTGGTATTCCTCTCCCATTTTTTCCGTCAACTTGGAGAAATCATTATTGTGATCATTATTAGTTTTAGTCATGGATGGAGGATCTATCAAAACGATTAACATGGTGATACCAACCAAGTCAACACCAACAAAGCTATTTGAAGAACCCAGACGAAAAGTTTCTCAATAAGGCACTGTACTATTTTGTTCAATATTGTACCTCACTGTTTAGTTTATTTTACTTGGCAAATGACTAGCCTACAAAATAATAAAATAACTCATCTTATTTCAGCTATATGGGTTTAATCTAGCTTGTTCCGATTATATTTTGGATAATAAAAACTTTTTTAATTATTAGTTCTTAATAGCAATTGAAATCAATAAGAATTGATTAATGCTGGTGTAGTGGTGGCGGCGGCGGCGGCGGTGTTTTGTAAATTTCAGATGACACGATGCATGGTGTTATATCTACAATTTCATCCAGCTGTGAAGAAGTGGGAAATGAAGATAAAATTCTGGTTGCATGTATTGAGAATAATTGAAATATTTCGGATGAATGTGCTGTGCCATGAATCATTTTCTTGAGTAATTTTATTTCTTGTTAGTATGTTACTTGTTAACTAGATTCCTTAATAGTGCAATGTCCCTTGTACATGAAATTCTTGTGTAGTGCACTACATTATCCATATTCTGTCAAATAAAAACATGCCATGTTTTATCAATTCAACCAAGTAAAATATATTGTGTTATTACTTTTAATGACTTTATTTTTGAAATATAGTGTTTTTTTAATTTTTTATCTTTTATCTCTCTATTATCATGGATGTTAAAATTAATTTATATTTATAACCACCTGATATGACATGCTTTTATTGACAGAGCATGAATAATGTGGTACGTATCAGATCCACGTAAGAATTTTTCTCAATTAGAAGTCCAACCTTGACGGATTAGCTAGTCCTCGGGAGCCAGAGGGGCCTTGTTGGATTAAATCAAGGTTTAGCCCAAGTCCATTTTAATAGACGAGGCTTGTAAATGAATAAGTGCAAATATTGTCTTAAGATGTTCAGTATTTCCTATTCTGGACAAAGAGGAGGGAGTGGTTTATTATGCATGGTCAGAACCATAGACTGGAAATTTGGTCAACCCTGCCAGTTGAAGTAGTATCATTAAATGATATTAAATGCTTTATTTATGACTAGTTTGATTATAATTTAATTATGATTTTAATTTTTAACCTTTAAACTAATATTTTGACTAATTTAATAATCAGTTCAGTTTTTAGTATTAGAATTTTAGGAGGGGAAATCGGAAGTAAGGGTTTATTTTTGATTGTGAATAAAATTCCCAATTTCTCTTGTTATTCTGCATTTTTTTTTTTAGATGTTAAGGGCATTTTTATCTCAAAATTTTTAAGGCATACTGGTCCTTCTAATATTAAAGGTGGCGTAATGTGTAATAACCCAGGAGTTTAAATAAGAGATTAAAATTTATGATTAAGTTTTTGATGGAATTTGTATTGATTTTTGAAACAAATATATCGAAGGGAATCGTGGTCCGGTGGAAGTTAACTCAATTGCAGGTCCTCGGCTCGAACCATGGTGATTCAACCGAGTTTTATTTTATTTTTTCAGCCTTTTTAAATTACAAGTTTACTGCTAAAAAACAGAGGGAAAAAAAAAAAAAAAGAAAGAAAATAAGTGAAATGCATTGGAAATTAGAACTCACATGCGCATATTCTCCTCTATTTCTTCCTCTGCTTTGATCCCATTCTGTGTGCAGCGAGGGTTTGAGAGCAGCGCCAAAAACCCTCATCTTTCATTTCTTGACCTCTGTCTTCTCCCTCCTCCAATTGCCGCCCGCTCCACCGTTCAAACGCGCTGCCGTTGCTAGAGTGGAGCTGCGCCATCGCCATTCCTTTAAAAAAAAAAAAAAATTAGAGCTTCTCTTTCATCTCTGTTTTAAACTACTGCAACCTCTCCCTCCTGTGTCCAAATGATCGTGCAAGTGTTTAAGCTTTCCCTCCATCCACATTTGTCACTGTTTGCTTGCCGTTGGTGACCGTGGAAGCATCGCTGATCTTCCTTCTCCCTGTAACGTGTAGCAGCATCGAGTCTCTCCCCTGTTCACTGCAAACTCTTTTTCCTTCTTTGTACTGCTTCCGCCATTAATGATCTGATGTAAGAAGCTTCATTTCCTTGTTTCTCTGCTACTGAGTACGTGTATTGTGGGTTGAGATCGTGGATTTTCCCTTCTTTTCTTTGCCGCTGTGACTAACGGGACGATGGGAATTTAATTTTCTGAGTTCAAAAATTGATTTACGCTGAAGGAACGATATTGAGAACTCGATTAATTCAAATATTGACAGTGGAGAACTTATGAAAAATGGTTAGGATGAGATTGGGATGAAAGAGTCTGAACTAAAAAATATATATATAATTAAAGATTGATACCTATAAGATATTTGATAAAATGTTTGTTGGAGGGAGCTGCTTGATTGTTTTTGTATTTTCTAAAATCTCATTAAAATTATTTGGGAGACATAAATGATTATTCTATGAATTGAGCTTGGTATTGTGAAGAAGATGGATTAAGTTATTAGTAAACTAGTTGAATTATTTATAACTGCATATGTGATACTTATGTTTAGGTTATATGAACAATTTACCTATATATAGGCTAGTTATTGTTTGAGGAAATTTGATATGATTTGAATTTTCTTTAAGCTTAATGGATGCTAGGAGGAGTTGAATTTAAAAAGTAAGATAAATCTAACTATGATTGTTTGAGATTCTTTGGTATTTGAAAATTACGCACATGATGTGTTTGAAGTGAAGTTTAAGTGGAAATAATATTCCAAATTGAGAAAATGGACTTTAACTAAAGTAACATGATGGAACTATGTAGTGTGAATTCTAATATTTTGAAAGGGGTTAAGATATATTTTTGCTTTTAAAATATTTTTCAAAGAGCATACAGCACTCTAACACTTTGATTAGAACAATTTTGCCTTTAAAGTAATTAAAATGAAGTATTTTTACCCTTTCTATCAAAATTTTAACGTTAACCTCAAACATTGATGTAATGACCTAAAGTTTTATGTAAATAATAAAATTTAAATTTATTTAAGGTATTCAAACATATGGTAATGATCCAAAATTTAATTAAAATTGAAAATGATGGTAATTTATTTTAATGATATTATATATATATTTTGGGGATGGTTTTACTGAAAACAAGTGTTGGTCTAGTAGAATTTAAGCCAGTCTATCACCTGATGGGTCCTGAGTTCGAATCTCACTGCCGTAGGAGCGGAGTTTTATTTTTGGTTTAACCTCTTGAATTACAGTTATGCCCTCCATACTGTCATATTTTTCCTCTCTCCTTTCCTTTTTCTGATCCATTGAACTTGCTAGAGCCAGATAGAGAAGTTCTGGCATCTAACCTAAAATGCCTCTGCCATTTCTATCATCTTCATTCTTCCTCTACTGATCTCAATGTCGTCGGCACCATGGGTGTTTGGAGAGTTGTGTTTGCTGTTGCTCTGTCAAGGTCAATATTTCTTTGTCTTCCTTTGCTTCTCATCTTCAAAGTCTCTTCCCCCTTTTCATCTATGTAGCTGTGTAGATGCGTTAGGATTGATTTCTTCCTATTCCCTTGTTTCATCAGCGTCGGTCTACTTGATTCTTCCCTGTAAACACCGTTGATCACTTCTCCCCTGTTTTGGCATTGATGCATGCTCATGTGACTGGGGGGAAAAAAACTTCGACCTTCTCCCCTTCAAGTGTCATAGGCTTTGTTGGTGAGTGAACCTCACCTCTTTCTTCCAATCTCTCGCCTGGTTTCTGTTTGTGTGTGATTGG